ACCTTACTACACATCTACATGACCCCACCAACCATCTCCCAAAAGATGATTAGGCTGCTGAATAAAATGTAAGAGGAGGTCAGGGAAGAAGGGGCTTTTTGCATAAAAAACATCATTTTTCGACCCCCATTTGACCCCCAGAGGCAAAATCTAAATCCTGAAACCTTACTACACATCTACATGACCCCACCAACCATCTCCCAAAAAATGATTAGGCTGCTGAATAAAATGTAAGCGGAGTTCAGGGAAGACGGGGCTTTTTGCATAAAAAACGTAATTTTTCGACCCCCATTTGACCCCCCGGGACAAAATCTAAACTCTGAAACCTTACTGCACATCTTCTTGACACCACCAACCATCTCCCAAAAGATGATTAGGCTGCTGAGTAAAATGTAGGAGTTTAGGGAAGACGGGGCTTTTATCATAAAAAACGTCATTTTTGCGACCCCCATTTGACCCCCCGGGGCAAAATCAAAATTTTGAACCCTTACTGCACATCTACATGACCCAACCAACCATCTCCCAAAAGACGATTAGGCTGCTGAGTTGAATGTAAGAGGAGTTTTGGGAAGAAGGAGCTTTTAGCATAAAAAACGTCATTTTTCAACACCCATTTGACCCCCAGGACAAAATCAAAATTCCAAAACCTTACTGCACATCTACATGACACCACCAACCATCTCCCAAAAGATGGTTAGACTGCTGAATAAAATGTAAAAGGAGTTCAGGGAAGATGGGGCTTTTTGCATAAAAAACGTCATTTTTCGACCCCCATTTGACCCCCCGGGGCAAAATCCAAATTCAGAAACCTTACTGCACATCTACATGACACCACCAACCATCTCCCAAAAGATGATTAGCCTACTGTGTAAAATGTAAGAGGAGTTTAGGGAAGAAGGGGCTTTTTGCATAAAAAACGTCATTTTTCCACCCCCATTTGATCCCCTGGGGCAAAATCAAAATTCGGAAACCTTACTGCACATCTACATGGGACCACCAACCACCTCCTAAAAGATGATTAGGCTGCTGAGTAAAATGTAGAAGGAGTTCAGGGAAGACGGGGCTTTTAGCATAAAAAAACGTCATTTTTCGACCCCCATTTGATCCCCTGGGGCAAAATCAAAATTCCGAAACCTTACTGCACATCTACATGACACCCCCAACCATCTCCCAAAAGATGATTAAGCTACTGTGAAAAATGTAGGAGGAGTTCAGGGAAGAAAAGTGTGACAGACGGACGGACGGACGGACATGAGTAACAACAATATACCCGAACTTTTTTTTAGAAAGTGCGGGTATAAATATGAAAAAGATTTGTTACACTATGAGGTATCCAAAGCTGACCAAGATATATCGTTTCGAAATAAAAATGAAAATTACTATTGATAATTGACAGTAGGTCGCCGATATATTTAAATGTCTAGGTAAAGGCCGAAGTAAGTGGTTTTTTTTTCTTTTCACGCATCAGATTTTCCACAAAGTCTGCTAGAAACGGGGACGATAGCTGTCTATGAGTGTCCTTTAATTCATCGTGGGTAATGGTTGTGTTTAAAGTTGAAAAGTCATACGTTTTTAAGCTGTAGATTTTGGTGCAATCTTGTGATTGTAAATTGTCCAAAGTTTCTTTGGAATTTTTAATAATCGACTGATGATTTACACACTTCTTGAAAATATTGTAGAACAGTAATCTTAAATTTTCTCATTCACTACTGTTAATATTTTGGTGAAAAGGAAAGAAGGAGGCTTGGTTAAACATTTACTGGGTCCCGCTACGTATCTTTGTTTGTAAGGATTCTTATGGAGGTTTGGAATCCAATATAAATATATGGTAGTTCAAATTCATTTTGGTTATTTGGGATATTAAAAACATTCAAAACTGACATACGGTTTTGAAGAAATTCCTCTTTAGAAAGGGAAAGTCTACGAAGTTTGATTACTAACTGTAGAATTAAATCCAAGTTCTTTAAAAAAAAAAACAATACAAATAATGATCCTTGCAAACGGAAAAAAATGTTGTTACCTGTTTTGTCAGCGGGAACCATTACGTACTGATCATGTAATGTATCTGATTCTTTTTTCACATAAGGATTATTGAATGCAGAAGGAAAGATGGTTTTCATATTGTCCTTAAATCGTTTAACGTGATTTTATCATGTATATTATACATTTAATCCACCCTGACAAAGTGTCAATGTCTATATGCAGAAATGACTTTTTTTAACAAGAAATGTCAGTTTCAATCTGAAATTGAACTTTTATAATAATAATTAATAAATTTAAGGGTTATTAAATGCGTTTCAGTCATCTCTAATTTAGTACTTGGACTCTTAACAAACAAAAAATAAAGATGGAATACATGTTTGATAATGGCTCACGCTTTTAAGACTATAGTCAAACATAAGAAGGAGAAAATAAAAACAAATACATAATTATGTACCAAAATTGAAAATCTTTTTATGAATGCAAGTAGTTAGAAAATAGAAAATAAATGGTTAACGAACATTTTTAGTATTAATAAAAAAAATATATACCTTTGAGGAGCTTTTAGCAGGTACGGAAGTCATATGTATGATAATGCACATATATATATGAAAGAAAAAAAAGAATGTAAACGTTTCATAGTTAAAATTAATCTACATTTTTTATCTTATCTTGTTTTCTGATTGCTATTTTATACATGAATATTAGCACCTTTTCGTTACAATACGACGTTTTTAAAGTAGAGGCATGATACAATATTTATTTCCAAGCTCAGATACATTGGAATCTTATTTTCTTTAAATAGCGCACTAATCTCATATTCTGAACATGTCTTTTTATATTTATTCGAAAGATGATATTCACGGTCTTTAAATTAGTTCGATTGTCATTTTTGTTGCTAATTACAGAAATAATATTGCAAACATTTGTCGGTATGGCATTAATAAGAAAATGTACCTTGTCACGATGAACATTTTATAAAACTTCAAAATTATTATCATGAAATAAGCTTAAAGTCAGATAGGCCATGAAGCTTGCATATACGTATAAAATAAATCTACATTCCATTTGTTAACGATCTTTAATGACCACGATATGCATTATTATTCTCTCTCTCTCATATATATATATATATATATATATATATATATATATATATATATATATATATATATATATATATATATATATATTTTTTTTTGTTCGTGTCGTTGGTCATTTTTAGTGCTTTGTATATATATATATATATATATATATATATATATATATATATATATATATATATATATATATATATATATATATATATATATATATATATATATATATATAAGTAAACTCTGACTATATATGTATTTAAGTAAACTCTTTCTGTTCAGCATTTATAAGCTTATATTTTAAGCTTTGAAACAAATAGATTCATTATGCTAACAACAGCATGAACAGATAACTTTCATGAATACGAAAATCATAGCTGCTAATTAATTCTCATGAGGGTGAAGATAATTAAAATGCAGGTGAATGGATTTATTTTAAAAGTAACACACAATTAATTCATAATGCAACTAATAATACACTTACAAGAATATCTCAAACTGAAACAAAACTTGAACAAAGAGAGTAAGTGCTGCCTGAAAAAAAAATGCTGCCTTGTACATGTAAAGAATACTAAATAATCAAAATAACAAAACATAAACATACACATCTACAGTGTATAAATGTATTCCCACAGAAATTGATTGTGATATTATACCTTTCAAAACTATCCATAGAGTAAAAATAAGTTGCAAAATGTACACGTATTATTCTTTTTTAATCACAACTCATCTAGTTTCGTCTATTTATTTCATTTTTATGCAGTTTTACACAGTATCGGGAGGCAGGGAACATTTTTTCTTCAAGTAAACGTTTCATACCGCATTTCTCTGTCTTCCTGTAAATAAGCAAACAAGAAGATTTTTATAAACACATTTTCATTTACTAGTTGTAGAACTCTGTGATTTTATGGAGTTACGAACAGTATATAAGATCAAAAGTCTTTAAAATAAAGTCCATTGCGAACATCTTAAGAATGAAAAGGAACATGGAATTTTTGAGAGAAAAAATTATCTTTAAAATAAAGTGTGGTTGAACTGAGAAGTGCCTTGGCAAATGCTCATTAGCGATGACCCTCGCTCTGATGTAAATGTTCACTCTGGTGTGAATACATGTATACGAAGGTTGTCCAGTAAAATCTTGGAAAAAGCAATTTTTTCGAAAAAAAAAAATGGGCACACTTAGCTACAATTTTCAATGTTTATTTTTCATTTTCAAGTGCATCACATTTTCTAACGATATTGGATAAAATATAGATTCATTTATGTTTACATGTACATAAGGTACTGTCTTACGGCGAACGGTCAAAAACCAAAGTTTACAAAAGCTTTTCAAACATTTCAATGCATTTGGTTAATGAGAATTTGCTGAGAAAACTAACAAAAGTTGACTCCAGATTCGTATAGAATAAATCAGATTAGTTGGAAGCTTTAAAACAAAAGATAGTGATAAAATTTCAAGTATCAGCAATAACCATCTGCTGCGAAAACTGACAAAATAGTGTTTTTTTCTGTTTGTACAGATGCACACTAAACAGGAAGTTGACAAAGAATTCGTACAACAACGAATCACAACATATGACTTGCCTAAACGAAGATCTTGCTTAAATTTCAAAAATCTGCTGCGTGCAGAGAGACAAGCAAACAAACACAAAGGATTACCCCCTTTCCTGGTAATTTTAAAGAAAAAGGCACATAATGGCACCTTTTAAAAGAAAGATGATAACCGTGTTAAGCTGATGGGTTTAAACTGTCACTCTCCTCTTCGGGTGATTCTTTATTCGAGTTGTTTGAAAGACCTTCAACAAAAAACACCTTTTTATTCATTGTTCAAATACATATGAATTTAACAGTATGCTACAAACATTTTTAACATAATGAAGATGAGTTTTAATATGAATATGATAAGAAATATGACAAAACTTGCCCTTTTTTCTCCATTGTCGTATGGTGAAAAATGTGATGAGAATGATGATGATAAGTAATGGACATATGACTGATACCGGAACTACGATTTTTAAACTATTTAAACTGTTGTTTTCTCTCTCCACTCTAAAATAAAACGGTTAAAACAAGGTAGTTTAGATACAAGTACTTGATTATATATATTTACCATCACTAACATTTTTAAATAAAGAAAGTTTGGGTATATTGTATTTAATGCTGCATAATCGTCGGTTCGTTTTACAGTAAAAAACATAGGAAAAAGACCAAAATAATTTACCGTATTTTTTTTTTTTACAAATCACTTCTATTAAGAAAATTTATAAAATCTTTGTTTAGAAAATAGTCTGTTTGGCCATATGTCACTTTACTTATATCATATGTTGTTTTTTTTGCGGATGTGAAACAACAGACCCAAATACTTAACGCTCACCTGGGTCAATGCACATGAAGCTTTGTTCTTCTTCAATAAAATATTTATACCTATTTATTCCGTTGAAATCTAGACTTTCCATACATGTACCTTAGTTAGCCCCTCTTGTCATGGTCTGGATATTCTTCTATATACTATATTTCAAGAAATATCCCTATCAATATGACTAATCACAGTTTTGTTATTCCCAAAGAAAAACTTTTACAATTAGATTTAAAAATAAATAATTTAATTTCAGTTGTAACGCGTAATTTGATTGGTTAGACGTTTTTTCCATTTCGTTTAACATAATTTGCCTAGGTCACAATGAGTTACGTCAAAAATGTATCACTCCACTTGACGTTAGTTTTAAAATTATGCTCACGTTGAAACCTTTTTTGGAGGAAATATTGTCTCATTGTCTACAGTGAAATTAAATTATAAGAAATGAAGCTTATTTCAACTTATGTTATTCGATATAACATAACTTGGGGCAGTTTACGCTTAAGCGGTTAATAAAGCGTAAACTGCCCCAAGTTATGTTATATCGGATAACATAAGTTGAAATAAGCTTCATTCCTTAAGGTAGTCCGATCCTCAGGTTTATAAAATTAGCAGTTAATTAAGTAATCAGAAGTACTCGTAAAAGTATCTCTGAATCCACAAAGTTATGTGAATTTATCCACAGTAAGTCTTTAATGTTCAAGATTAAACATATATAGGGGAAATTGTCAAATCTCCAAAATTTTTGCAGAAAAAGCGAACTGAAATATCAGCAATGCATTTTCTTATTGCAAACTGATCAACAAATATATTTTAGGTTAAAACACGATAGGTATCCAGACATTCAGAGACATTATCATAATTTTTATACTTATTTGGTATTTTTTGTCTTCTATTTCCGTCATGTATTCTATGATACATAGTGAAAAAGGTTTTTGTTATCATTGCAAGACACCACAAATCACTTCTTATTGTATATCATACTAATAAGCATTGGTATCTAAGGCTGGATTCAAGAAAATCTTATTTCTCTAAAACTGTACTAATTTTTTTCCTCATATAGGGTACAAATGTCAATTTTTAAAGACCTTTTCTAAGACTTCCAAAAGCCTTGAATCTTATAAAGATGAATAAAATGAAAATTGTTACATGAAAAATTTTCATTTTCAAGCTTCATTTTGATGCATTTCAAATTAAATATAAATTTTGGAGTTATCCTTCCTGGCTGAGGATCGGATATCCTTAATAAATATTATTTTGTAAAATTTTGACCCTTATTACGCACGTGACTTACCCCGGGGGTATGATTTCATCAAACTAGAATCTTCATCTCCTGATGATGCTTTCATAACATTAACTGACCATGATTTTTCTGTTTTATGAGATTTTCAAATAGTTTTTGTTTCTTATGAGATATAAAGTAAATATTAATTTGATTCTTTATTGTCGTCTTTCTTCCCGGAGGGCATGACTTCAAGAAAGTTAAATCTACACTACCTAAATATTTTTTTCTACATCATCATGATCTGTCGTAGTTTTCTGTCCCTGATAAGACCTCCCTTAAATAACTAGTATCTAAACTTTGATCCCGTACTGCAGCTCTAGGGTCAGGATTTGTACAAACTCAAATCAACACAATGTAATAAAAGTTTCAAATTTATTTTTTTTTCCCTTAATTTGAATTAACCTGAATTTGCCTTGATACAAGGATACTTTGATGCAAATTTGGCTAAAATTGGGCCAATTGTTAAGATGTCAAAAATGTGTTTAAAGAAAGTCAAACAACTTACCACACTCATGATATTAATTGATTGATTCAATGTTGTTTTTGTCCCTCAGCTATGTTAAGGACCAATATGGAAAATGTGACCTTTCCACCGTTTTAATATGTATTGCTTCTTTTAAAAAGTTTTAACAAAGCAACTGAATACTTGTAGAAAAGGTAATATAGCTATCAATAATGGATAGGACTGGGCCGTAGTTATTACCAGTTATATCGCACGTATCAGCTGTTTGTCACGTGACTTCTATAAAAATAGAATTGTTAAGCTGAATGTAGGAAATGTGGATAGTGCAAGGGCATACGCTTGTTTTTTCAAGAAAATAATTGAAACACATTAAAAGAGGTTTATATCCTCTACCCAAAAAGTGCTGGGAGCTAGTCAGTGCTGTTTGCGAAGTACTTAAAATTTTGCCGAAAATGCTTATAATAGCTAAAAATTTCCACTTCGCTTAAATTCTGTTATAAATAAAATTAATGTTATGCAGACCAGGATCAGCTCCCAGCACTTTTCAAAATATACACTATATGAGCAATACATATTCCAAATTTCAGCTCAAACAAAATAGTCTAATGCCCTTGCACTTTTGATGTATATCACGAATACACTCATCGTTTTAGCGATATTCTCTATATTTCTTATCCCTGTGCAGCTTCAATGCTACTAGATAAATTCATATTCTATACACATTGTATTTAAAAAATTATTTTCTTTTAGTTTTAATGATTAGGTCTAAAAATTAGCAATGGTATCATATTTATTTAAGCATTCTTGTAATTATTAAACCAGTGAATTTACTCCTCCGGATCACTTGTGCTGCGTCATGTCAAGGCTGATGACGTCATATTTGACAAAGGGCTTTCTTCTATTACTCGACTGTATCGCTATCAAGTATTGCAATTTTACAAGATTTTATAAATAATCGATAAAACAGATAAATTCAAGTTGTTATTTACGCATGATCATGTAGTAATTAATTTTTGTAGCTTGTTAAATTTCAATGACGTCACAATTAAACTTCCAATACGATGTACAAGGAATGCGAACTCTGACCTTCCTTAACATAGCTGAGCCCGCTCCAAGTTTTTTTTTTTTAATCAGAAAGAAACATACGAGGGTTGTTCGAAAAGTTCGTGGACAACTGTCATGTCTTTTTTATTTGACGTCATATGTTATCCAAATTTAGCAGTAATATTTTAACAATAAATCCAAATGATATGTATTAATTTGGACAAAATATTATGATTGATTAAAAACTTATCCAGATTTTTAAAATGCAAAAATCGGATCGCGGAGCAGTCAAAATTTAGTCAGTTACAGACAATACAATAAATAATGTCTATAGTCAAATTTGTTTAAAATGGAGGAAAAAAGAAAAACTACATAGAAATTCAAATTAAGAATTGTTACATCAATAAGTGTACCAAATTATGGTTTTATATTTCGCTTTGTTGAAAAGAAATCAACTTGAGAAGATAAGTAGTACTTATTGAAAACGACAAAAACGATGACGTTTTAGAACATCACGAAGCAGCAGATACCGAAGCAAATTTGTGTTCTTATCAGGAAAAATCCTGAATAAACTCTAAAAGTGTTGAAGGAATCAAGAAAATATGTCACAAGCGAGTTGTGCATGTTGTACAAATAGTACAGGCAGTATTTGAGTGAAAGATTCTTTGTATCGGATGAGGATGACCTGTGAAAATTTTTTTTACTGTAAACATCTGAACAAAACTTTAAAATTTGAAACGTAAATGAAAGACAAAGGCCCTTTTAAAGTTGCTTATCCTGTGAAAGCAGAGTTAAGTACTAAAAGAAATTTAAACCTTAATAAAGGAGATTATACAATGATATCAATTCTTAAAAAATAAATGTCAAGTATTAGAAAAAGAATTTTATGAATGGGCATTGGAATATTCTGTGTGAAATGCATAAGTATAGTATCTATTATAAATTATCGACGCTATGTGTTGACGTTACATTGCCGTTTTGTGTGCTCCGCGGGTACAAAACATATTGATTTTAAAATGAAGTAAATTTATTTTTGTTAAATCGAATGGAATGAAACTTCACGCATCAACAAATCAAATATTTTTACATATTATGATGTGCTTGTTTTAAAATTCCAGTGAGTAATATAAGGAAGATGGACATCGTCCACGAACTTTTCGAACAACCCTCCTATATCCGATGAAATAGCGAGTTGATTGAATGATTTAAATCTTAACAAGAGTAAAATAATACTTTTTAAAAACCTTTTTAGGGTTTTATAAAAAAGAATGAAGTAAAATTTATGCATTTATGATTTACAAATGTAATTAAATAACAGGCATTACTTTCAGCATGAGATTATGTGTCTCAGATATTGTGTGTTTTGCTTTATTATCCTGCTTTCTGGGGTTTTTTTTGTGTGTGTTTTTTTTTTCAATTCTAACGAGAAGTCTACTTACTGATGTTTGGGTGTCGTCTTGTCTGTTTTACTATTGTTTGGCATTCTGTCTGTCGTAAGGCTTATCATTTCATGACACTGTGAATCTGTAAAAAAATATATATCAGTGATTTTTGCATTTTCAAAAATTAATCAAGCCAAATCAATTGATTTTTTCCCTTTTTAGCTGATATATTCTTCTTTAGACATGTAATTATGGCAATCATTTTTACTTAATCTATTTCAACACCACTTTTTGACAATAGATTGATTTTAACAGCTAAGATATAAACCAATATTTCCATATACATAAAACATACCTCCAAGACGAATTTTCATTATTGGTATTTGGTATATATTCAGTAGGAAATATTTCTTGCAATCATATTAAAAAAGCTTTTATTGAAGATAAATTACACAGGAATGATGCTGTTGAGTTATATGCGGGCGGACAGGGTGTCGAAAACTGTGTGCAGTCGGCAAAGTAGCTTTTCCTTATGCATTGGCATTCCTTATTGAATTCGGTACACTTTCCGGCTGCAAATAAAAAAGAATAAAATAACAAAATAAATTAGGGGTTAACATCATTCGTACTAACGTAGAGGGAAAAAAGACGTGTTTTTAATCACTGATGTCCACGAATGCTCTTTTGGTAAAGGTTAAAGTTTCCGAGATGCAAATCAAACCTCAAGGTCAAGGGATAAGAATGCTGTTATCCAAAAGAAATTACTTGTTTCAATAATTATATCAGTAAAGTATGTAAGTCAGAGCACCTACAAGTCAAGAGTTAAGACAAGTTTAATGTATTGTTTAATGTAGGTAAAACTTCAGGCTCAAATTAAAGGTTTTCAAGGGAACGCCTCGTCAAAAGAAATACACATGAAATATAAAAGTCCTCGCACGAACAATGCACGGTTAAAGTTTTTTTTCCTTAATAAAGGCTCAAATTCTAATGTTAAAGGTCAAAATGTACATGTAACAAGAAGCACAAAATGTTAAAAGTTACTACCAAGTTTACACTTTAGTAAATACTTGCAATATTGGGTCAAACTCCAACATCAAGAAGTCAAATATTTTGGCATCAAAAAACATCTTGTTTCATGGAATATAAAAACTTTAGCTCCAACCAATCAAAAGCCTTTATTTTATGAAATTGGGAAAAACAAACTTTTTATTGGGAATGAGAACTTATGCATGCCATTGATGACCCCAAAATACCCTGAAACAGTGTGTACATTTATGCGCTCATAAAATACATGTACATTACCCACAAAAACTGAAATTTAAGTATAAATATGAAGAGAAACATTCGTTACGATATTTCAATATAGATTGGTGTAGACTGACAGTTACGGTTAAAACAGACTGAAGTCACTTTCGAAGAATTATCAATTCTTCGATAGTTTGAAAAATCTTAATATCATACTTTACAATTCAAAAAATATTCAAATCCATTTAACCAATGAGGGTTTGGAGATTTGTATTTCTATTTGATCGCCAGATTCTATCACAGTCTTACTAAATAAGCTTGTAGCATGTAAATAGTTGACCACTCTTAGATTGAGCTTCATCTTTAATTAAGCATAAGGCAGGTGATACATGCGTTCCTATTCCCAGGAACGCACTTCATCTAGTTAGCTCACTTTAGCCAAAGGCTCACATTTTGTCCATATTTCGTCCGTCCGTCTGTAAGCTTTTCTCATTTTCAACTTCTACTCAAGAACCACTGCGCCATTTTAACCCAAGCTTGATACAAAGCATCCTTGGTTGATAGCGAGTTTAAATTGTGAAAATAAAGGGCCACATCCCCACCTGGGATCGGAAAACTATAAGGAATCAATTTTTTACATAGAAATATATGAGAAAAATCTTTCAAAAACATTTTTCTCCAAAACCATTGCTCCAGAAAAGGTGAAACTCTTGTGGAAGCATCCTGATGTAGTGAAGAATCTAAATTGTTAAAATCATGACCCCCGAGTGGAGGGCGCTATAACAATAAGGAATTCAAGTTTAACAGAGAAATATATAGGAAAAATCTTCCTCTCAAGAGTCAGTTGACCAGGAAAGCCGAAGCTTATGTAGAAGCATTTTGGAGAGTGTCGTGTAGATTCTAAATTGTTAAAATCATGATCCCGGGGGTAGGGTGGGGCAAAAATGGAGAATCAAAGTTTTACATAGCAATATATAGGGAAAAGCATTCTTCTCAAGAACCATTGCACCAGAAAAGTTGAAACTTATGTGGAAGCATTCTGATGTAGTGAAGAATCTAGATTATTAAAATCATGACCCCGAGTTTAGGGCGGTCCAACAAAAGGAATCCAAGTTTTACAGAGAATATATATAAGAAGAATCTTCTCATCGAGAAGCCGTGGGCCAGGAAAGTTGAAGCAAATGTGGAAGATCCTGGGGTAGTGTAGATTCTAATGGTTGAATCTAAGATAGGTATGATGCACTCTTAAAAAAGTTTTACTTAGTAGTCATTTTTTACTTGAAATAACAAAGATTAGTAATAGATAATTACTAAGCCTTTACTTAAAATTTTAAATCAATTACTAAAATATATGTCAATTACTAAA